CCATCCCCAACAAATTTCATTTTGACTGACCCTTCTCACTACCACATCTTGGCAAACTTGGTGAAGTGTCTTCCCTTTTACTTCTAAACACTTCAGAATGGTCTCCCCTTGCTTCTATGTCTGTAATTTCTTTTATTTTCTCTTTGTACTTCTACATTATCTTGTATTGCATAATTACTGTATTTTGTCTGTCAAAAAAGATTTCATCACTAAAGTGAGGAATCCTGAGCCTCGTATCCCTACTGGGACAACTTTGACTCTCTTTACTTTGTTTTCAACAAAAGCAACAAGTCTCCTCGGGTAAGAAGCTAAGAAAGAGTGAGAGTTGATTTGTGTAACATCACTTACAAGTGGTGAATATTAGAACTGAATGAAGATGTAATGTTGGATTAGTAGTGATTTTGAAAGCCTGGGAATGAAACTCTGTAGTAGAACACTTGCCTAACATATGCAAGGCATTGGCTTTGGCTCCAGCACTGTAAAAAAGAAAACAAGTGAATGTTACAGCATTGTAAGAACAATAGAAAGAAAACAATGAAAAGAGATGCACAATTTATCATTATTTCTGCTGAGGGTCAGCTTTAGGGGAGTCGTCTCCTGTTGGAATAATAAGATGCAAAGACGCAATAGCTGTATAGTTACTACAGTTCCCTGTCCCTCTCTCTGTCCCTCTCCCTGTCCCTCTCCCTCTCACTTTTGGTGCTCAGGACCTTGTGATAGCTGGGCAGGCACTTAAGCCACTGAACTATCTCCTCTGCCTGGCCATTGTCTCTCTACTGAAAGGAGCAGAATATTGTGGAGAAAGATAAGGCAGAATGAAGTGCTGATTCTCTGACTTTGAGTTACGGTTGGGCTTTTAGTGGCTTGCGGTGGAGAATATGGGCAAGCCTCAGGCAGGTACACGGGGAGGGCATCTTCCCACTCTACGGGTCTCATAGCCCAAGAAGGACCCTTTCAATAAAGGCAGATGAGCTGTGTAGCCTGCCTGCCTAGACATCCTGCTTAATTACTGGCTTTGACCTACTACAATGTGGTAGGTTGAGAGTTTAGTCATAAAAGTACTTCAACATTCAGAGCAGAAGACTTTCTTTGGTGAACACGTTTCCTTCTCTCCCTCACAGAAATACTTAAAGTGAATGTGTTTATAGCTGAAAAGACTACAGTACACACTGTATGAGGAGGGACTTCAATGCAGACAGGATTTAGGGTGTAGATGTATTGACTCGCAGGCTGTACCCTCTCTTTTGCTAGAGGGGACTGAAAGATTAAAGGCACAGGAATTCTCTAGCATTTATTTTTGTCTAACTTTGAGTTAAGCACTTGGTCAGGCTCTGACAACATGAGCTTTAGAGCCCTGGTACTGCTCAGGGCTCAGCACTAGCAACTGTAGCTGTTGAAGGTTGCAAAACATGTGAGAACACACCACGGGCCAGGCCGGCTGTTGGGGAGTTCAGAAGTTCCTGCACTCTTGTAACAGTGTAGTCTTGGGACACTTACGTAGGAAAATGGATGATGAAATGTCTGCTTTCTCCTTGCTCATTTAGAATTAATCATCACCTATGTTTAGAGGATGTAGTATGTTTTTACAAACATCATACATACTATGGGTGATTATATTCTATTTTTCACTAGCCATGTAGTAGTTATCACCCAAATAAACACATTTGCTGAGATTTGGGCAGTGATATGAACTGAACGCACTAAATTCTTCCTTTGTGATGGCTTCAGTGAAGTGCTGATCCTGCTCTCGTTCACTCTGCTCCACACTTAGAGCACTTTGAAGACTAAAGAAAACCAAACCACCACCCCCCCCAAAAAAAATCAGGGCAACCTAAACTCCTATTGGAGTACAGTGGTGAGAGTTAGTATGAATAAGGTGTGTCTGAGTTCTCACCATTTGATAAAAGTCATTGATAGCAAGAATGAGTGGCTCCAAGAAGGTGAGCGACGTGTGCCTGTCGGGAGATGTGGATGTGTGTTCTCGATCTCCTCTGGTCTTAAAGTTAAAAATGTCTACAAAGCTCAGATGGCTGCACTCCCTGTCCCTCACTCTGCAATTTCAGAACAAATTTTAGCAAATCATGAGATACGTGTCTGTATTTAAATTGATTTGCCTTTTTCTATTTTAATTGTTGAGTTCTGTTTTTCTGTGTGTTTGCTCTTAGGGATTCTTTAGTAGCCTCCGTATTGAACTTCGTGAATATCCTGATATCATCATTTCTAATATCTACCCTGGACCTGTAGAATCAAATGCTGTAAAGAATGCACTAACCCGGGATAGCACACAGGTAAAGTTTTCTAGATGGAGAATAGTTTTGATGCTTAGTAGTGATGCATTGATTGTGTACTGCTATCTATCAGGGGTTTTATGTCTGATCTGCCTATGAGTTACTCTTGAATCTTCAATTATGGCATTGTAAAAATTGTAGAAGTTAGCTGTTACTACTTCAGCATCCAGTTTTAATGATGACTGATGAAATTACTAAGTGTTGCTTATAGGTGGTCTACCATATGTGTCTGCTCTTAGGTAATAGGCTTTTTTTTTTTTTTTAATTGAGAACCCTCTTTGACAACCTGGCACAACAGTAAATCAAATACCTGTAGGCAAAGTCAGAGCATCAAAATGAAACTATTCTAAGGTTAGAGTGAGAGAATTTTGGAACCAACAAAAAAGTAACAGAGCTGGGCGTGATGACTCACACCTATAATCTTAGCACTTGAGAAGCTGAGGCTGGAGTATCATCTTGAGTTTGAGACCAGCCTGGGCTTCAAAGTGAGCTCAAGGAGAGCTTGAACTGTATAGTGAGACCCTGTCTCAAAAAAGACAAAAAAAAAAAAAAAAAAAAAAAAAAAAAAAAGAAAAAAGAAAAAACTAACTGAACACTGAAACAGCATGGAAAAGTGGAATGGCAACATTGAGTGAAGTGCAAACCAGTTCACAATTTCAGTGCCAACCATCCATCTGGGGAAGACGATCCCAATGCTGCAAGCACCTGATGCTGGAGAAGGAGCACAGAGCATCCTGGGGCCAGTGCTTGCTGTGATGGTAGACTTGCTGTCCTCCTGAGAGACATTTTGCCTTCCTCCAGCCTCAGTCCATCCCCATTTGAACCTTGACTGATATCTCAAAATGAAGAATAAGGGGACAGATGTCCCTAGCACTAGACCTGGTCCCAACCAGTCATGACTGGCAGCACTATGACTTCTTCTTTCTGGACATTTAATCCCCTTAACAACAGCAGACAGAAAGAGTACAATCCTTATGGACACTGCAGCTCCAATGAATATACTGCACATGGTTAACTTAGGAAGCCATCAACCCTCCAAAATAAGGGAGAAAATGTGAACATAGCTTATTCAGAAGAACCAGAAGCAAGATAAAATGGCAGATATTAGTGCACGTCATTCATCAATAATGCTAAACATAAATGTTGTTTCCTTTAATTATAAAATCTAGACTAGGTGATTGGATAAAAATAGAAACCCAACAATTTGTTGCCTGCTATAAACTCACCACACCAGCATAATCAGGCAGAGATTAAAGGTGAAAGAATAGCAAATGAAACTTAAGCCAGAGGAAGCTGAAAGCAAACAAGAATAACTAGACTTAGGTAGTAGTCAGTTTTCTGCTTCTGGGACAAAATTCCTGACACAGACAACTCAAAAGAGCAAAAGTTTATTTTGACTAAAGGTTTCAAATACTACAGTCAATGGGTGAGTGGATCCAAGACAGATTAGCGTGGAAGAAGCCTGCTCAACTTCAGGTTACCAGGAAGCAGAGAGCAGGACGGAACCAGGCAGAGAGAATGGCGGGGGCTGCATATTCCTGCAAAGTCATACCTGCAGTGACCTATGTCCTCCATCAGGTCCCACATCCTAATAGATCACCCGGTGGTGATGGATTTACCAAACAACTAATACTCTGATGATATTAGAGCCATGATAATCATATTCCGAAAGGCACACCCTGCATACTTGAGCCTTCCATAAGAGATGCCTGATGCAAACCACAGCACTCCACTCATGCCCAATCCCAGCAGGCCTTCTTCCCCATCAGCTCACCTATATACCAGTCACCTCCGAGAGTCTATGCTCGGCCACACACCAGTGCGGCTTAGCTGAACTAGGTGTCCCTATCTCTCTGCTGGTGAACACATAAACTCAAATTGAATCAAGACCTTAATATAAGACCTGGAACTTTGAAACTATCAGAAGAAAACCCAGGGGGAACATTTCAACATCTTGACACAGGCTGTGATTTCTCCACCAGGACTACCTAGGTGGAGGAATCAAAGCGAGAATTGACACATGGAGCTATCGGAAATTATAAAGCTTCTGGGCAGCAAAGGGAATGATCTGTGGAGTCAAGTGGCCGCCCTCCAAATGGAAGAAGAGCACTGAAAGGGATTTACCTGACAGGGAAATGATGCCCAGAACACACAAAGAACTCAAAGAATTAACACCAAAACAATGAATCATTCAGTGAATACATGGGCAGGTGAGATGAACCTCAGATTTTCCAAAAGCGGAGTAAAAGAAGTCACTAAAAATATGAAGACTACTCGACATGAGTAGCCAGTCAGGATCACAAAGCATGACTATGTTGGGATTTCATGGCAGCCCAGCCATATAGAGTACTGTGGGCATAACAGAAAATAGCAATTCTGGGTAAAATAGTCAAAAAGAAGGATAGTTATACCCTGCTTCTGGTGATATGACTAGTAGGCACTGTGAAAATGAAGATAGAGATTTCTCCAAAACCTGATATACAACTACCATGTGAACGACCTAGTCAACGGCCTTGTAGTTAGCTGAGTGAAATGAAATTAGCATACAAAAGACATCTGGATTACACACTCTCATTGTGGCATTGCTCACAATAGCTAATATGCAGGATCAAATCAAGCTGGGTGCAATCCAACAGGTGAATGTGTAAGGGATATATTTATATATATGTTTTTAATAATAAACCCGGGGTTTTAATGAACAAGATTCTGTCATTTTCATGAAAATGCAAGAAACAGGGTGCCATAATATTGAACAAAATAAGCCAGATAAAGATTACAATATATGATTTCTTTCATATTTGGAAACTGGAATAAAACATTGACCTGAGGGCTGGTGAGATGGCTCAGTGGTCTAAAGCACCTACTTAGAACAAGCTTAGCAAAGCACAGGGACCGCGGTTCAATCCCCCAGCACCACATGCCAGCCAGCCCCGCCCCCTGGTGGGCTGAGCTGCTCCCCCCACAAATAAATAAATAAAAATTAAAAAAAAATTGACCTGAATATAGTAGAACAATTAGTATGGGATAGAAAAAGGGATGAGGCAAAAAGGAACAAGAGAAAACTAAACAAAGGAGCACAGGGAATGTTTACAATCCAACCATGACAGTATACATGTCATCACATGTCACATTCCCTCATAAATCCCAGCAACTAGTATGTGTTATTAGTTATAATCAGCAAAGACTTAGGATTGTTTTCTGGACCACAAAAGAAAAATAAGAAAATCTTTTTATTAATTTCCTCCATATATTTTTCATTTTTAATGGGAGTTTATATGGCAAATACAAATCTTAATAATTTGATTCTTATCACTTCAGTGATAACAAAGTGCTCACTTAGGAATCTAAGATGGTATGATACTAATTAAAACCAAAGGATGCTCATCTTTCAAGAGCCTGGAGAACCTTATTTACTGTGTATAGGATTCCTTTAGGCTGTTTGAAACTTCATAATAATTCCTAAGCCCACATTAGTAACTAAGGGATACTTTTTTCTTTTTTCTTTTTCTTTTTTTTTTTATTCTTTGGCAGAATTGGGGATCGAATTCAGGCCCTTGCGCTTGCCAGGAAAGCACTTATTCTACTGAGCCATCTCCCCCACCCCAAGGATTCTTTTTTTTTTCCCCCATAATTTTATTGAGAGATGAATAGCAATAAGACAGTTTCAAATCAAATTGGTATGACAGTTTCAATAATTAACACATTTCATACTCTCTTCCTAGTGGTTATTTACTGTACAAGATGCAGACATGATATCCTATTTATAAACACTATTAGAACAAATCCCTCTATTCATTAAGAGGATGTAACTATATATCTATCCTAACCATTTTGAGCCATGACTCATCCACATGGCTGACACTGACAAAGGATCTACAATCTGAGGTACAGGATCTCAGGATAAATCCTGAGTGGATTTCACTGACCTTATCAGATCCAAAAGCTACAACTCTTGTTGCATAGGTCTTGCTTTATCTTGGTCTTAACCATCCAGCAGAAAAGTATAAAAACGAAGTATAAGAAGTAAAGCCATGGTGTTATGTTGAGCTGTAGGAGACTCAGGTCAACAATTTCTGACACTGCCAGTCAAGAGGAAGACCCAATACTATTATGGACTACTGGACTCCTTTAGAATATTTTGCTGAGTTAACACACCTATCATATTCAAATGATGGAACTAAACGAAAAAGGGGATACAGATGAATGTCCATTTTGTATCTGTGTACCCCAAGGATTCTTAAGAAGCCTTTTCTCCGCTGAAGAAACCGCAGGAGCAGGTGGCTTTTGTGTCCTTCCCAGCTTAATTATTCTGCAAACTATCTCGGATAAATTCTCAATATTTCTTCACTTCTAAACTTTTCTTAGACTTTCGGGCATGATACTGAGCTGTTCTCTAAGATGGCAACAAGCCGTTGTGTGCAGCTGATGCTAATTTCCGTGGCCAATAATTTGAAAGAAGTATGGATCATGGAAAGATGGTTTTTGATTGTGACATATCTGTGGCAATATATGCCAGACTTCAGCTGCTGGATATTAAGGGTGCTAATAAAACAAACAAAACAAAAACTTCAAGACAGTACGGTAAGAACAATTTATGTATTTCTTGTCCTGTCCCAATTTTGCAGAAGATCCAACGTTTCAGTGTCTAGCAGACTTTCTCACCATCCTCTACAGCACCTAAGTACAAAACCCATTTCATTCAGGTGCCCACCCCTATCTGATGGCTGACTGTAGATTGTTCTTTGCTTTGAGTAATACATTTTACACAATGCTAAATCCTAGCAAAATTGCCTTCTTTTCTTCTACACTTTCACCACTGCATGTGCCGCTGGCAATTTTCCACTTACTCTCTGCCCAGCTCTACCCTTCCTGCTGCCCCCTGGCCAGCATCAGCTCAGCAAGTGCCCCCTGGCCACCCTCCTGCTTCTCCCCAGCATGGCTGCACCTCACCCCTGCACCTCCTGTCTCAGCTTTGACTTCACCGTGAAGACAGGTGCGTGTGCCAGATGGGCCGATTGCTCGTCCCTCTTTCCAATTCACTCTGCATGTCACCCTTGTGGCTGAGCCCGTGTCGAAGGCACGAGGCTGACGGTGCCTTGCAGCTCTCCCGTCTCTGAGGATGAATAGGGGATGCTGTCAACCACTTCTGTGAAAACTGTAAGCATCAAAGTGGTTTTTTTCTGTAATCGCCACAGCAAATATGAGTTAAGCCCCAAATTGTGAGCTATGACGGAGCAACAAAGACTATCGCTCTGAATGATTTTCATTTACAAAATTTTCTATATAGGTTTTTACTACCAGCCTTGTAAGTTGGTCTTTATGGTTTGAAATATGAAAAAGAGGATGATGACACAAGAGCATTCAGCGTGTATCACTGTAGAATTTTCCTTTTCCAGCCACCCACATATATGTCTCACACTTGTGAGACAGCTAATTTGCTCCAGCTTTTGCAAGAGAGTAAAAATGAATAGAATGAAAACCCCAAGTTACAACACAACGAATTGCTTAGAAGTGGAATGATTATTTAATGTTTTGTGACACGCTGAAATATCCAGAGCCAGAAAAGTCCTTAAGGGTTTTTTCCTTGTTTTATATTGTATTGTAATATGAGCCAGTTTTTATGATCACAAGAGGGGGGACTTGGTGGAGTGGGATGCATCTGCATGTGGAACTTCAGCGTCAAGTTCCACTGAGTTTACAGTTGAAAGGCAGCTACTATCAGGCTGGGAGCTGAAGGGTAGATGAAAACAAAGTGCAAAAGCCACCCTAGCAGAGGGGAAACAGCATCTTGGTCATACAAGGAACCCATTTCCTGGCTACCCAGGTTCAAACACCAGCTCGCCCTGTGCTTGCACCATGACCGGAAGCAAGATGCCCTTCCTGAACTCCACTTCCCCAGTCACAAAGTGGATGCTACAGCAGTTAGCTCTTGCGACCATGCTGTGCATCAAGTTAGAATTCGTAAGTTAGAATAACAAAAGTTACTTATCTTGGAACTGAAACTTTGTGGCCTTTGATAATCTTTTCCTTCCTCCGTTTCCCTACATTCCTGTCCCTGGAAATCACCATTCTAATCCCAGATTCTCTGAGGCTGTGTTTTCTGAATCCACATATCAGTGAGATCATGCAATGTACTTTTATGGCTTGCTTATTTCACTTAGTGTGACCTACTCAAGGTTCGTACCTGTTGTCACAAATGGCAGGATTCCTTTCCTACGGCTGAAGCGTACTCCATTGAACCTGAAGAGGCCACATTTCTTTACCCATCCTTCAACTGTCTCTGTATCTGGGCTCTTGTGAAGAACAGTGAAATCCACATAGGAGTGAAGATACCTGTTCAAGAGACTGAGTTTATTTCCTCTGGAAAATACTCTGCTCTGGTCTAGATGTGGTTTGTCCTTCCAGAAGTTGGTCCCCACTGACACAAAACTAAAAAGTAGTGAACCTTTAAGAGATGTGTTTGGTGGAACTTGCTTAATTGTTGGGGACATTATTCTTGTCAGGAATTAATATAGTTCTCATAGGATACCAGATTGTTCCTCTTTTTTTTTTTTCAATGTTCCAGTCATAACTTTAATTCAAGAACATAATTATTTTTTTTATTTGAAATTGTATCTTTATTTTTATTTCTCTGTTCTTCCATCTTTATTCATTTTTAACACTGATTTGTGACCTTCCATACCAGATTGTTCTTGATAGAGTGGATTGTTATCAAACAAGTCCACTTCATACACTTTCGTACTTCAGTACCTGACTGGCTCCATTTCCATTTTTCTGGTAGGTTGAGACCCAATCATGGGATACTCGGTCAAATCTGAATAGGTAAAAGGCTTTCAACTTCCAAAACTGTGACTAAAACCTTTTTTCTTTGCATATCACCCACTCTCAGATATTTTGTTCCAGCTTCAGAAAGTAAATGAATACCCACGAAAGGAAATGCCTAAATGTCACATAGTAATTTCAATTATTAAAATCCCCATACTGCTCTTCACAATGTTAATACTGATATACATTCTCAATGACTTAATTAGTAGGGTAAACAAAGACCATATTATAGCAATATTTTTGTCAGAAGAGTAAGGAGCTATAGAGTTTCACTTTTATGGTTGTAGTTGTTATCTTTTCAGAAATGTTGACAGAATATGTGATAGTAATATCTAAATATCATTCAAGTAAATCTAACATTTTATTACATATGGAACTTTCTTAAAGACAATGGCCTTTTTGGCCTACTGCTGCCTTTCATATTTTGCTCATTATGTGGTTGCATTGTTTTATTAATCCTTTTTGTGATAAACTGCTTGTTCATTCATGTTCCAGTACTATTTAGTGAGTGTATTATTCCCTCAGTCTTTGTACAAAACCATAGAAAACAATCATCCTGAAGTTTTTGATGTTACTGTCATTATTTTCATTATTCTCAGTGCAAATTCTTGGAAGAGATAAATGCATATTTTCCTGAATGAAAGTCACATATTATAACGCCTTGTTTTATATTTTAGGAGATATGCTGAATGTTCCTAACTCATTCTAGACTTACTCCCAAACATTTCAGTCACAAATCCTCTGACCTCTTTTTTGTTTTCATTAGGACAAGCAAATGTGAAATGCAGATTAAGAAGAAGGATAAGAGAAGTCTGCCTTTCAGGTGTGTCATGAGCTGACACCACCGAAGTGTTTGTACAAGGTGGAAGTGGTGATGCGGAGCCCTGTGCAGATATTTTTGTGTAGATCTTGAATCCTGCCTCTGATTTTTAAGTTTGAATTTAACCTTTTGCCCAAGGTGTATAAAGATTCTTAATATCAGACCCCCATATGGACAGAGAGCAAAACCTTCCCCGAGCAGAGTTGCTGATCACTGCTGAAGAGACACAGAAATAACTGGGAGCCAGAGTTGGAAAAGGACAGAACAAGCTTAGGCCTCCCTAAGCAGCTGCACCTCAAGACACTGATGTCACCAAGATTCCCAGCTCCCCAGAGCCAGACGAAAATGTTGTACTCCTCCCTGCCATACCTCTCCCCGACCTAAACACCCCTATAAAACCTTCCCACTGCCTGTCCCTTAGGGCCAGTGGTGCTATGGATGTTGACCCATCTACACCCAGGATCCAATAAACACTGCTTACTGATTCAACATCTCCTAACTTGGTGGTCTTGCTCGTGCCATACTGTACTCTTACACTCACTAGTTACTCATATGATAGGACTGCTCAAAATAAAATCCGTGTTAATCGTGTGAACAGTTCAGGGTATGACTTCATTGCACATCAATGGAAAAAAAAAAAAAAAGGTAATTGTACTGTGACTCTGTTACAGGAGTCAGATTCTTTTTATTTTAAAACATACAAGAAAAACTAGGATTGAAAGTATCATTTGCAGTTTGGAAGACACAGGAGGGAGAAATGGAAACCATAATAACATTAATTTTCTTTTTTTCTTGCCCCTTTTTATATATATATATATGGTTGTTACAGGGTCTCACTATGGAGCTTGGACTTGTGGAGATCCTCCTGTTTTTAGCCTCCTCAGAGCTGGGATTGCAGGCCTACTCCACTACGCCTGGGTTCTGTGGCCAGCTGTGCCTGCCCAGGGGCAGGGCTGGCATGGCATATTTTGCCATGATGGAACTGCAGTCCCCGTGCTTGCCTAAGCTTGGCTAAGTAGGCGCTTTTGTCTGCTGAGCTATCTTGCTGTCCCCTCAATTTTCTTTTATACAGAAAACAAATTGAAAGCTCATTTGTGCTTTTACTTTTTTGACATTAATTTCCTTTTAATATAGAATAAGCTATAAATAAAGTTTGGTTTGAATCTTCTAAAAAAGGTATCAACCCATTCTGTATCTTGAATAAAAGAACATTGAAAAATACCTATGCATATATGTTTAAAACCTAGGTTATCAGAAACCCTGCCAAGGATTACAGTGATCTGTTTCAAAAATTTCCTAGTCCATTCATCCTGCAGTAGCAAAACACCAGAGACTGGATAATTTTTAATCCATATCTCCTGCTTGTGGTGTCTGGGAAGTTCAAGGCACCTGTGGAAATGGCATCAGATGAGGGTTGACCTTGGCCACACTGTGGGGCCTTGCTATGGTGTCCCTTTCAACTTAAAGCACCTTGTTTATCAAACTAAAACTAGTTCACATCTGTTAAAGCACCTTGTAAAAATGAAAATTGAACTTTTTATATCTTTCATCTATGTACAAAAACATAAAATCATACCAGATTTTACGTTTGTGGGTCTTCT